TTCTCTCACTGCAAGTGTTAAGAATTTAAACCATTATTATGAGGTTATTATTTTAGTATCTATTTTTGAGTCCAGTCATGCCAAGTGGTACTTATCTTTTGTAATGCAAGTGAGCTGATTGAAGAAACTGAAAACTGATTCCCTTTTACATTCCATGAAATAAGTGAAAACAGGACTATATCTAGCTCATGTTATCATATTAACATTTCACTTATGGATTCAAAATCTTGCAGGGTGCATTCAAAATCCACATGATATCTTGAGTGCTAAAGTTTTCAAGACGATCTGTGCATTAGCAAATAAATAGGCAATGTAAGAATACAAGTTTGGCCACAGATGCAGCAACTAGTAACACAAAATCTGAAGCTACTTCACCTAAGGATGAAGAAATTCAGACAACAATAGTTTGTTCATCACTGTACCAAAAGGGGAAGGTCTCTGATGTAACTGCAACTCTTTAAGATACACAAAATTAAGCTGAGAGGTATGAGGGACCAGACAGCAATTTTCTAAACTGGGGCCTAGTAGAATTCAATTTACATATTCTCTGCTGCAAATAAATATTGTTATATTAAGTATTTCCACTACAGTAACCATCTTATGCTTCTACATACCAAAGCAAACAGCATCAACTTCACAATAATTACTCCAAACATTCTCACCAACCTTTCCCATAAAAAGGCTGAACTTTGAGGTGTCCAAACCCCAGCTGTTGAAATAGGTGTGAAGGACAGACAACAAGATATAACTCATATAATAGGCAAGTTCTGGTATAACAAACAACTCAAAAATCTGTAAAGGATGTAGTAAGCTGAACAGAGGAGGAATATCCTCCCTGCACACCACAAAGTATACACTTCATACATCTCCGAGGTCAGAGGGAAAATGCCAGGGCATCCTCACAACAATTGAAGGCATTTAAAAAAAATTTTAAAAAAATAAGAGAAGTGTGGATTTCTGCTATGGTCAGAAGTACAGTCAGAGGTCGATGACAGGTATTGCTGAAGGAGGCTGAGTAGCAGCAACAAGTAATAATGGCCAGTCTTCGCGAACGAAGATTTTGGGAAAGGTCTTTTACCTTTCCAGCCTGCGCAATGGATTTTTTAGGTGAGACACAGCCTGCGCTGAACTGAGCCCACCCTTTAATCCTAAGGTTCATCTGCCGGGGCCAAGCAAGCTTGGACAATGGCAGTGAGGTCCTCAGGACGTAGGTTTGTTTAGAGTGACCTTCTCATAGATGGATGGCCTCACAGGGCTAACGAGCTCCATCTGCCCGGGGGACTGGGATTTGAACCTGGGTCGCAGCAGTGAGAGTCCTGCATGCTAACCACTAGGCCACCAGGGGTCCCTCAGCAGCAACAAGTACTACGCACAGATTAATAGGCTAACACAAAAAAAAAAAAAAAAATTGTGCTAAAATCAAACTGTGTTGAGAAGGAGTTTTCCCATTCTTTTACTGGAATTTCTTTCAGTACTAATTTATTTTGTTCTCCACCACTCTTCCATTTCACTAAGAAAGTATTGGTTGATTACCAAAAAAAACAATAGTCAAAACATAAAGGAAGCTTTGCTTCCTGTTTCCATTACTCCCTCTCTCCCCAAAGAGACAACCATATGGTTATATGGTTTATATGCATAAAAACATCAAATACCAATTTTTAATTTTTTGTGGATTTAGCACATGGGTGTTCAGTTGTATCGAAGGCAGTTTAGCCAATCTGTTCTTTCTGCAATTTACACTGCTATATGGATAAGTCTTTAAGGAAATTAAAAGCTAATATGTGCCTTCCATCTTCCTGTTATTGAAATGCATACTTGAAACTATATTCCTTGTGTTTTTCCCTGTACTTTTTCTCCTCTATTGTACATTGACCTCATCACATTCACCCACATTCTTTCCAAACTCCTATTGATTTGTCTTCATCATTTCTCCCACACAAGCTTTCTCTTTACTCAAGTCCTGTACTCTCTGCTTCTCACATTCTTCATTCCATGTAAAGATTTTTCTAAAAATCAGATTTAAAATCCACAGACTCAGTTGGGTCCATATTACGCAGTTCTTCCAAGATCAAGCAAATCAAACACACTATGAGTTGTCTTTTCTCACTTCAACAGAGGTGCATTCCTTGTTAGATTACATTTATTTTCATGCATTACTTTTTGCCCAGTGCTCTGCTCCTCAAATGTAACTAAAACATCTTCAGGTTGACCACTGGCCTCAGAATTGCTAGCAGATATGTATCAAAGTTCATTAAATGTTTTGAACCAAAAAATCTGCCAAATAGCATTGGCTTGAGCAGTTCACAGGCTTCTGTGGCGATAGCAAAGTTTTCTCCTACAAAGATTTTCACTGTATCTGTACAGTCACAGAGTCTTCCATCTGCATTTTAGTTTGCAACTGTCCCAATGTCTGATGGTCCTGGCAACCACTCACACGTGTCCTTAAACTTCCTGGAACTGCACTAAGGTTTTGTTTGGTTTCTTGTTTTTCCACTTTCTCACTGTAACTTTCTTCTTCTACCACTACAAAACTGCAAACACTTGTTCATTGCATTCCTTCCAACTGTACAAGTTTGCTGTAGCCCAAATCCATTTCTCGCTTTACATACATGCAAGGAATAAAAAGAGGCTGCTAAAGAACTGCCAATCCTTTTGCCCTCACAGTAAGCAGCCTGGTGCTAGTGAGTTTGCTCCAAAGGGTGCACCTTCCTCATCTGTAAGCCAGAATTAAGTGGAGTCACCTAAATTTTTCCCAGTTCTGCCAGCCAAGTAGAAAAGCATTGAATTAAATTTTCAGATACTCAGTGAGAATTTCAATTGGGTTTAGGAGCAAGATCAGTGTGCCTTAAATCTTAGTGACCTATTCAATGCTAATACTTTTCAAAAAGAAGCTGTTCTATATATGTTTAAGTAATGTCTCTTGTCAATAGATGAGGCAGGTAACATTTCTGATTTCTCATGTACCATAAAGCTGCACTTTGAAATCTCAGAGGCAAGTGATGATGCAGTTGGGAGGAGGTGAACAGTGCCACATGCCACAGAAACAGCAAGGTGTAACATTTTACAGTATCTAGTAGCACAGGAAAAAATAGCTGTTTAATAACAGGCAGTCTCTGCCAGGAAGAAAGCCACAGAATGCTTCCTGAAAGGTAAATTGGAAGAGATGGTCTGAAAGTGTAATTGAAACACCCAGAAGAATAACAGCATTGAAAGCTAGTCCTGTACTCAGACTGATCAAAGAATTTTCATAAAATCACGACTTTTTCCCCTCAGTGAGGACATCACAAACTCAGAATCATCCATGAAGACTGACATGACTATGTTGAATAAGAACCCTGGAAAATTCTTCCACTGTAAAACCCTGGAGTCCCTTCTTGCTCATCATATTATCAAAATGCTCCCCTGAGCTTTCTAATAGAGTCTGCCATCTTATGCATCACCAGCAAGATGAAAACAGCTTTACGAAGTGTGTAGCCTGACCAGCCTTGCAGCAGACAAGCTTGCAGAACTACAATGGAAGGGAGCTCATTTTTCTCCATCAGTGAATGTCCTCAGCCATGGAGTAAACTACAAAGTGCTAAACCTAATATCATATCTACCTCAAAAGCAAATAGATAAGAAAGGAATGTAAATGTATCCAAAATTGCTATATCAAAACCACTGTCCCAGCATTTCATCCATCAAATAGCTAACTTATACATACATCTGTTTCAAAACTAAATAAATATACATAAATAAATTTTGAAGTGTAAGAAGAGAAGCTTTGTTTACCCACTTCCCCTGAGAGGAAGTGATCCCTTCACCAGAAATAAAACCAAAATTGTTATTGCCATCTATCAAGCATTCCTTGTTCTTAAAAACAAAGTTGCTGTACAGAAATGACATGACTTGTCAACTATGTAACAGCACAATATATATTAGTAGTTTACAGGTTTTCTCAAATGTTCAAATTTTCCACCTCACACCATTAAATTTAATTATATAACAATGAACTTCTGCCCTTATGTAACTTTGTGGCCTAAAGTTGCTGCAACTATCTGGTGGGTATAAATGAAATTTTACAAATGCTTTTTAAAAGACAGAATGTTTCATATAACAGTGTTAGACCTTAGAAAATAAAGGTCTTGAATTTTGCCACATCAGTATAGAAAAGGAAAAAAGAGTGATAACCTTTGAGGAATGCTGTACTTGTTGATGCAGCACAAACTAGTGGAAGCAGCTACCTCATCTATTGTTCATACAATTCTGCATGATTTTCATTATTTTTCTAGTTTTGCAACTACAGTATCTTAAACAAAAACAAATAGATTATTTTCCTGAAGCCTTTACAGTTAAGTTTAACTTTCTTTTTTTTTTTTTTTATTTTAAACTCTGCATGGAAAAGAGAAGAAAAAGGAAAAAAGCCCCCTAAGTTTTCAACATTACTTAAAAGCAAAAGTAAGCTTAAGTTTTTACTGTCTTGGACTGACTTTCCATAGTATTAGAAATATTAAAAGACAGAAATTAGTACCTTACATTGAGTCACATTTACCTATGTATATCCATCAGTGGAAAAATCAAAAACTTACAGGACTCAGAATGTAATGAGTGACTTTGTTTTTCAGATTCGGTCAAAAAAAAATCCTGTCTCTTGTATAGATTATCATGTCACAGTCAGCACAGACCAGAAAGGCAAAGCCTGCAACCTACACAGAAAAGTTTCCAGCAATACAAATAAACCATTAATTTGAAACAATGCCGACTTCTAAATACTTTGCAACCGTACCTCAAAAGGTTTGATCTGACTTAGTGCTGCCATTCAACTAAAAAAATAATTTATGGTGCTTTTAAGATGTGAATCTCAAGAGTTACTTCCATACTTATTGCTTAATATAATGAAATTTGCCACAATTGCTCTAATCTCCAACTAGGGAACCCTGAATCTTTCCTGGTAAACAAAAATTTTGTTCAACACCATTAAGTGCATTTATACATAAAGATAATGTCATCTTGATGCTTACCCGATCATTGTGCTTTCTTTAATCTGGCCCTCTGTGCCATTTACCATCGGCTCTTGATTTCTGTTTTCTTTGTCTGAAGCATCACTTGAGAGGCCCAACAAAGCTCGCACTCGTTTTGACTTCACATCCAATATCGTGTCCGTGTAGCCCACTTCTTGTAGATACCTGTAGGAACAGAACTCATGCTAATCTTCCATGCACATCCCACTTATGCAAAAACAGTAAATGAAAACTTCTCCCTAAACTCATCTTCTTCAACCCCTTAGCTTAGCAAAGGATGGTGCTGAGCTAATGAAACATGCTTATAAATCATCCTGTACCAGCTGCAGAGGGATTGCCTCTTGCAGTACCAGCCTCTACAGTCACTGAGAAGCCTAGCAGTCAGACGTTATACAATATGTTATTCATTCATTTACTAAAATGGGTGGGAAAGCACTTTCAATTAAAATATTTACAACTGCTTTATAAATATCACCACAGTTGCATGTACAACATGGTCATTTTATTCCTCGACACATGGAAACTAGATACAAGAAGTATCAGATATGTTCCTATATAAACATTATTAGAAGCCTAGAAAACAGAGAAAATAAAATCCAAACTCCATAGCTGTAGCTATTAGTGACAGTTGTTATTTTTGATGCATTAGGCTTGATAAAATCTTTGTCTTGCCTTTCCTTTATTCTGCAATGGATCTGCTAAATATTAATTTGTCTTCCATATAAAGGCTGGGCAGCAAGCATCCTTGTATGAAAACCTCAAGGTCTAAAGTTGACTCTTTAGGTCTAAAGTTGGTTCTTTCATCAATATGCCATATTGCCTCTGAGGGAAAGAGGAGGAATATATGATTTAAAAAAGAAAAATTAAAAATTGATCTCTGTCCTTCCCTCCAGAATCTGGAGTTAATAGCACTGAACTGATTAAATGGTTAATATTGTAAACAATTCTAAAGAAGGGAAATGCTATCTTACAGTAACAGCTGTTACACATCAAGGACACGCACTCTTCCTGCAAGAACATCCTCCTCCAATTATTTAACAATATCATTCACATAACCACATTAGGAGAGAAACACTCATTGTTGGCTATAGAAAAATCAAAAAAGTCACCTATGCAAAACAGAGTCTGTTGGTAATATGCACTCTATTCAGCACTGTGTCACCCATGAATTGCACTGAGAAGGAATGAATTGTCTTCAGAATTACTGATCCAAGTCAAGACCACTCTATTTACATTTATCCAACATGCATGTAAAGATGTGAGCTCTTGCAAAAGAAAAGCATGTATAAGCCATCCAACAGACAAATTTAACTTCTGAACAATTCCTTGGAAAAAGGTTCTTTTATAAAAACTCCAGACTGTCCTTATTGATTCACACCCCTCTCATTTAATCCTTTGTAACACACTAAATATCTTGGCAATTTATTCATTATGATCAAAATTCAAAAACCAATTTAGATTTATAGACATTTGCTTCATTCAGATGAACTGAGAATTATAAAATGTCTCGTCTAGCCTCCTGGATGTTACTCTTTTCTGCACCTCAAACAGGCAAAAATAAAAGTTTTCCCTCTCCAGTGCTAGCTGTTTTTATTTTACACAGCTCTTAGCAGAATTACTTGTGTGTGTTGTTTTTTAATTGCAAAGTGCCATGACCCACTGTTCTCCCAAGCAAATTGTTCGATTATACTCATTGAAAGAAAAGTAAATGAGATCAGGCATTTGTGATTTGACAAAGCTTCTCACCTGAAGTTCGGAAATACTGAAATGTTTCAAAAACCAAGGAAAAGCAGGGCAGGAGCTGAATGAACTTCATCACGCACACTAACTTTTCTTTCAATAAAATCTAATAAAATCACATTTCATTACCAGATTTGTTCTTTTGCATTCAATATCTGAGTCCTTTTTTCAACACTTACTGTCTTAGCAGCTGTCGTCCTTGTTTCCATATTAGCTGACTATTCTGTTGTGGTTGAATCTCTGCCTCATTCCCTTCATCTGAAAAAGATTATTTTAATAATTTTTTTTTCCTTTTCCTATTTTCATAAAAGATGCCCATCCACTTGTAAAGACAAATGCGATCTGTCTTAAAATGACTAGGAATGGTTTAATTAAAAAAAATAAAAAAATTCAAAGTGCCAATAATCAAGAGAGAAAAAAATGCACATAGCACATAATTGTAGTACTACATACACATAAAATTTGCCAGGAACATCCTACTCTATGAGAGCAAGTTCCCCTAGTCATTCATGCCTTCCCTTTGGTCTCACATCCCCAAGTCCCATCTAATACTTTTTCTTTAAGGGTACATAATGACATAGACAATCTCGAGTTCCATTTTTGCATTAGCCTTCAAAAATAATTGCTGCTCATATTAAGTTTGAACACAAATATTTTAACTGCTAATGATATCAAATGCAACTGCAGCATGACATCGATTTTCAACTCACCTTGACAGTTCGACATAAACAAACAGACCTGCTCACATCAACTTTAAATTCATCCTTATTTGTATTAGTTTTTAGAAGGAAAAAACCAAGTAAACACTAGGGATTGTTTACTTTTTAACTGAAAAGCTATTGAAAATTTTCACCACATTTTCCCCAACCATAAATTTGTATGCAAATGTTACTACTCTAGAAATATCTACGAAAAAAATAATTTCACTGCTCTGGTAAGAAAACTGCCTGAATGTTGGCAACAAACAGCTATATGTTGACTGCATATATAGCTTCAAACCACACAATGGTGCAGTTCTCTTATTCTCCTCCAGGAGATGCATATTCTTCCCAAGATAAGAGATCTTGATTTATTGTCTATGAAAACCACTACAAAACTTGAAAACCTTGTGGTCCAAACATTGAAGGATGAACAATCTTCCTGTGTAAACAAAAATTAAGAACAAGAAAAACCTCTAGTATAATCCTATGAGTAACTTGATATGGGATGTGAGAAAGCTATTATTTTCATCAGGAAGCAATTTACCTTTAAACTGAATTAATGCCACACACAAAAAACCCCCAACACTTACCTAAAGAAACTATCAAAGACTGATCAGAATTCACATGCAAGGAAAGCCATATGAGTTTTAGCCATCTCGAATTCACAAATTCATTTAATAGCAACCACAGGAAATAATCAATTCCACAATAATTTTCCAATGACAACTGAACATAGCTGGATCCGATGCACAGCTACCAAAGATCAGTCTATAATTATTAAAACATGACTGAGGTAAATCTGCCTGAAAATTCCTTTGGAAAGCAAAAACCCTTCTTCTGAAGGCACTATTAACTACATCCACAGGCAAGAACGCTCTTGCACTTAGTCTCCTCAAATCTGATGACCACTAGCAGTGACAATGGTTCACAGATAAGAATGGAGGGACTTGCATCATGAGCAAATAATAGCAGAAGGTATCACAAATAGTAATTTTTTTTTTTAAAAGGCATCCCTTTACCAGGAGATGGAACTCTTTTCTTCTAAATTGTGTTACTGATTCCCAAGTGATCATAAAGAAAACGATCAAAAAGGACCCATTTGGAAGAACTACTACAAACACTCATGCCTAAGCAGGAAAAACAGGGACAGAGCAGGGAAAATATATGGACATTCAACTAAGTATCTATCAAAGACAACTTCAAAGGAGCATTATAACAAAGTTTCTATAACAAAGTTTCTACTTTAAGTGTATCACTAATCAGTCCATATTTAATATAGAACAAAAGTATGCATTTCTGATAGCTACATATATAGAATACAATGGGATAAATGAGGATAATGGAATTTTAACAAAAGTAATTGCACTAAAGTTCATTTTGCAGAAGTAATGAATAGGCTATGGCTCTGCTCACAAAACAGGCCTTGCATGACATTCCTCCCCTGGAAACTGGAGCAACATGCTGTAGCTGCATTCTGAGAAATTACAAAAAAAAAAAAAAGTTGTCTAGGATTTTAGTATGGTCAGAACAAGGTTTTCTAATGGTTCAAATAAAGATTGGGGTTTTCCAGTTAGTAACAACAAATTAAGTGTTTCTTCAGTTAAGGAAATAACCTTGATAATAACATGAAGTAAAATATCTCAAAAATTCATTACAACTTGAACAAGAAAAGCCTGGTGTAAAGCTTTAGCAGTTGGTGTGGGGTTGGATTTATTGTTTGTTTAGGGTTTTATTAATGACCTTCTGAAACTAACGAGGTAAGAATTAACCATGACAGTAAACCAGACCATCCCCTCCACAAACGAAGTGACAAACCTGAGGTCTGCAGACTTTCTATGATCTACCTTTATGTACAGGGGCTCCAATTTCGTTTTACTAAGAGCATCAGGGGACTGAGATACAAAAAAAATCACCTATTACTTCTTTCAATGGCTTGACCTGTAACTAAATCTCTGTACCTCTTTTTTTTTTCTGAGGAAAGGATAAGGAGATAGAGGGATAAAAGGAAATAATTTAAATTCTTAATTCCTCAAGTTCAGTGCTTATATCTATTTGTCTGAAGTAGGAGATGAAAACTCTATGAAAGTAAATCAGCTTTTCAGAGACCAAGGCTGTCCTCTTACAGCATTACACTGAAGTCAGTTGAATGCATCTCCAATGATGATTTGAATTCTCTAAATAAATCCCCCACTCACAAACTCTCACTTATGTCTAATATGTACTTTCATTATTTTTCTCCTGAAATATCACTGAGGTAATTGAACAAAACATTATGTACTATATATTTCATTCATAAAAATTACCCAAAGATAAAAGGATTCTACAGCTATGAATCTAGTATCATCCTGTTCTAAAATATCCATACACATTACTAAGGGAGAGAAAAAACTATTCTCCAAGAGCAGTTTTGTCATTTGGGCTTGGATTTTTTTAAATCTAAACTCATTTGATTCATTAATAGACTCTTTTAGAGCATTAGCATTATTTTTCATTGTACAAGAGTAAAATATAGTCTTTATTAATTACCTCTATTCTCACTGCTTCCATTTAGCAACTTATTTTATCAACACTATCAATTCAGCATTTGCACAAATTGCAGTTACGTTTTTATGCCAGTAATGAACTGATGTTTAATAAATTCTTACCAGAATCATAGTTTGGTGGCTTCATATCTCCCTGATTCAATTCTGTGCCATATTTTAATTTGTGATATTTAGCCCTGAAAGAAAACAAAGGAAAAAAAATGGAAAAAACCTATTAGCACATATAAAGGGTATCTCTAAACACATAAATGCCACCCATTTTCACTTGAAAAGCCATTCCTTTCTTCTAGGCTAAGAACAAGACAAAACAAATCATTTGACCACGACTTTGGATAAGTGATTTTGTTTAATTATTTTTCCAAGGTTTACATGCAAAGTGAATAGTGATGAAACACAGGGATCAGTAGACTGCAGATTTTACAAAATGCTCTTGCTACAGAAAAGGTTCCCTCCCTGTGGACACAAGCTACTCTTCTGCTTCCCTCCCCCAGTGTTTCACTGTGAAACATTTTTTACTATCCATGTCAGTTCAGCACCATCTACTTCATATCTCATATTGTCACCTCCATTAAGCAAACTTTAGTTTTATTCTTCTAAATGCTGTGCTTTCCAACAGCAGCAAGCTCTCATTTAGAACTATTATAAGTGAGATTTAGCAGTGACAGCTCACCTACCCCAGTTTCTCTCAAAGCTGCTACATCTGTCACTTGACCAAGTGCAAAATCGAGACTTCTCTTCCAAAAATATTTAGCCTTCAGAAGGCCTAATGTAATAAACCCCACAAAGCATGCCATACAATGACAAGAGTAGCTATGTAAAAAAAAAGGAAATGCTTTTTAATTTGAAAAGCTTCATCCTACAGAGTCAGTAAAGACTTTTAAACACACAAAATAACACCACAGTAGCACAAGATGGCAAATGCACACATAAATTCTTCAAGATTCATTAGAGTAGTCTTACAACACCGTAACAGAGAAACTGAGGCAAAGAAAGCCTTAGCTAGCTTCACAATCTGTTCCCTCCTTCTCTCACACTCACTATAACTTTATAAGATTGTTTTCTGCCAAACATGAAAATTTAGACAACTCAAAATCCTGATGCCCTATAAAATTTTGTAGACATTCGCAACTGGGTAGAAGAGTGGCACTTATACTAGTTCCTACCCAGAACAAAAGGCAGAGAACTCAGAAAATGCTGACTGTGCAGCCTGGCAGTAGTGGGACAACCATCAAATACACACATACACACAGTTCCAATGCCAATGTACAGAGCTAGGTGTAGGTCAGCAAGACACAGGCTACAAAAGATAAAACAACTTAACCTCTCAAATACACCAACATGAAAATGAGTGCATTAATTCTACTAGTCACAAGGGAACTCTCTCACTCAAAATTTGTTTTTTAAAAAATTAACAGGTGTGACACTTTGTGATTGTATGAGGCAAGTCTCGCTAAGCTTGAATGACTGTATAAAGAACGACTGTAGAAAATGTTTTCAAGTTACCTACACCTCTTGATTGTTACATACACCTCTTGGTTGTTTCTCAAACATCTTCACTGCGTTACTGTTTTCTTTTGCCTTTTCTTACTTCACCAAGAAAACTCATTATTTCTAACAAAATGGTGCCGAGGGAATTGATGCTTGGTAGTTCTTATGCTTCAGTATTGATAGTACTAGCTTCCTACTAATCCAGCTGCATTTTAATTCTAATAAACATTTAACTCTGAATGAGAAGGGTAAGTGAAGAGTGAAGAAGTGCCTCCTGGGTGTAGCAACATAGACAAACAAAGGAACCAACTCCTCAAGAGCCAGAGCACTAAGTTCTAACTCAGCTGAGCAGCAACCATCAAGGAAAGGAGAAAGGATGCACTTGGAATGTATTAACAGTAATAAGTGAAGGTTAATCATTCTGGTCAGTACAGAAAAGAATAACCAAGAACAGAACAAAATCAAAGCTGAATGCTCAATCAAAATATTTATCTTTCCTTTCCCAACTATCTCACCAGCAGAGAGATGTTACCCTGGTAAAATATTATTGTTTAATACTAAGGCTATGTTTACTTTTTCCCCCACCATCACTAATAAAAAGTAATGATTAATCAAGAATTAGGAAATCCTCTACTCTATCATGAACCTACCTCACCAACTTCAAACACTACAATTTTTTTATACAGTCATGAATTCAAGTGACCGTACTGTTTAATCTGTTTTGATTTGACTTAACATAGCAAATATTAATACTCTACTTTAATCTGGATTACTGACATATGCTGTGTTCTACTCAATTCCTTCAAATAATTTCAGAAAGCAGTTAGTTTTTGTAGCATTTGCTTTTAGTTCATCAGTCCTATGCAGAGTTCCCCTATGCTCTAAGCATTCACTAATTTTCTTATCAAGTTTTTGTTAATAATTTCCTACCTAAGTAAAATATTTGCTAGGTTCACTGAAAGGATCATTCCTTGTACATTTCCTTTTCCTCAGATCTCTCTCATGTTCTCCAAAATCCATCTTTTAAAGATTCAGTCTGCAGATTTTTAAACTTCCATCATTTTTAAAATTTCTTTCCCTCTTAAATCACCAGTAATAGTCTTCTTTCTTCTTAGTAAAAGCATTATAAAGTCAGTTCAACAAAGTGAGACTTTTTCATTCTATTCACATTTTAAACTGTTAATAGAAGGGTTTTGTAACTGGTTGCACCTCATAATGCAACAGCTTTTAAAGCTTTTGTTGTTATTCTTTACTTCAAGAGGATAATGCAGATTACATGGTCTTGTACACCACTGGCCCTTAAATCTATTTTAAGGCCAAGCTGGACTAAGATTTCATCTTTTAGAAGATCTAACTTTGTATATCACAGGCAGAAACCAGTAGCACTACAGATAAGGCAGAAGAACCGGAGAGGTTGTTCTTCTAACAGAGAGGCAACTGAAGAGCTGAAAATCCCAAAACCCAATACTTATTTTTAATATTGCTGAGAAAGTTAAAAACAAAAAGCACAAAATGACAAAAACCCCCCAATGCTACAGTCAAACCTGAATTAAAATAATTTAGTACAAATTCCTGTGTCTGAGCAAGTCACAGACTTGAAACAGAAGCATGAGTATCATGTCATAGTACTTGACTCAGTGAACTCATCTTCAGCTACAGTATGCTTCTAAAATTCAGAGGAATATTAAAAAAAAATCCCATAAAATCAATATAGACCACTAACAGTCCATCAAGGAAGTATTTTCTACATGTCTTCAAGCAGCAAGTATGAGATTTATTTTCAGAAACATTTTTACGGTACAGCTGAAAATATCACAAGTATGAAAGAAAAACAATCTTCTTTCTAAAGTACACTAAGAAAAGGGCTGAAAACCATGATTCAGACACCAAGACTGGAAGGTAGAGTCTTGACCATTCAGTTATACATATTGTAATCAAAGGTTATCAAACTCCTCACAAAATAACCTTGAATTCTTTTCTACACAAATTCTGATTATAGCTTACTCCATTAGCACATTTTAATTTAATCTATTTCTATACTAACATCTTCTGCCCACCTGTCACACCTAATTTCACTTTTTCAGAAATCACACGGACCACTTATTAACAGCTTTAAAACAGCCTTCTGCAGTTCACAGCAGTGCGATACTATCATCACAAAAAAGAGGTTGTCTTTTTTGTGTAAATAAGTATGAAGTAAAATCAAAGTTTCTCCAACCTTTGCATCATCTGGTCAAAAACAAGTGGTTTGAGGGAAAGAAAAAGGGAAACAAGTCACAAAGATTTATTATCTGAACTTGTTCAACTTGAATGATTTACCTTCCATTACATATGGATCATTAACAGTATGCAGAGACAGAGAAATTACTTGAAAATAACTACCTGAAGGATACAACTTCATAGAAGGTATTTTCCATCTGAAAACTAGCCTTCAAGTTGTTTGGAAGAAAGCTATTTTGGTACTGTGAAAATACGTTGCTGGATAGATGCCCTTACTCAGATAAGAATGAATACTAGCACTGCTTTGGCTTTTGCCCCTCATTACACAATTCTCCTTTTTTGATTAGCAGTATTCTCTTTGAACTATGTGTCTTCTATGCAAACAGTGCTTGGAGACATTCAACATGGCTGCCATAACATTTTAAGAACTGCTTAGGAAAAAGCTAAAAGCTGTCATCCTTCTAAATTTCCTAAGACTAAGAGCAGTGAAACTTTTCTGAATACTTCACACAGAAAAAAGTCTGACCCCAATCAAAACAGGCCACTATTTCTTGGAAATATCTGTCGCCAGACCTGAAGCATCTAATCCAGCTGTGCTGAGGGAGCCTGCCAAAACATCCGTAGAAGATCTGGGAGCCGACGCCAAATCAAGAGACATAAACAAGAATGACTGCCAGGAACAGCACGGCGAGATATTCTACATAGGGTAGAAGGCGCCAGCCTTACACTGATCAGACACACCAGCGCAGAAAACAACATAAAATTAAATCAAGTGTTTCTAGAGACATGGCTCAGGAGTCCAGTTCTTTGGTTGAAATATGTTAAGACAGGAAGCAAGCTAGACTAGGTGAAATAGGACATGTACTTGAGAGAAACAGTACCACATTTCAGCTAGCTCCTGAAAATTCAGAGGCAACAATGCAATTTACTGGTGGGGGAGTAAGTACTGATAAAGTCATAAAAAGTAACCCTCAACTGTGAGCAGCCTCACACTGCAATCTACTGGGTGTTGGCAAAACTACATCAAAATTGCTGTTGAAAAAATGCTAGACTCAACCACACACTAGCTCCTTCTAAGCTCTTTGCTATTTAGTCCATTAAGACTCCAGCAGAAATAATTAGCTTTCCTATGCACACAACAAAAAGGTAATCTCACAATTACTAAAATAAAGGCCAAACATTAAATTACATTTGTCAGAAAACCATGACAATCAGTAAGTAATTTTCTACCTCACCCACCACAAAATGACATGTGACATGAAATAGAGAATAACAATAATGCTCATGAAGCTGTTTTTTTATATTAAAATTTGAAACCATTTGGTAGATAAAAGAAATGCTGAACACCCACTATAAAGAACAGGAGCTCATAAAAGCATGTTTTTGAGAAAACCAATGGTACCTTCTCCTAAGGGCATTGCAAACATGGGAGTCCTCTGGGCCACAATCTCATATTCTGTCCCATTACTCATACCTTAGTTCATCTAGCTGAGAAACATTTGGTATACTGCAAGGCCAGGACAGAAATAAAGGAATACAAGAATGATTCCCTGCCCCCTCACACTGCATCAACCTTCCCCTAACTTGACAGAAATGTCTTCTTCCTACCTTGTAGGATCTCATTTACCAGCTCTGAGATCCCAGCAGAAAAAGCCAGCATTGCAACTGACTACGGCCTGACCTGGATGACAGCTGATTTAGGAAAATGCTGGGAAAGAGAGCAGTGCTTCCAAGCTCAGCATGTTGCCATTCTTTGAAGTATCAAGCAAGAACGCCTGCTGGGAGACATTTCCAGCAGAAATACAAGACTGTTTCTTCAGAAACTGGCAAATAAAACTGCTGTTTAAAACCACAAACTCATAAATAGCTGTCTCTAGGACACACCAGTCACAAGCATCACATTTACTTACAGAAACATTGCACACCCATACTGAAACTGTCACACTGGATCAGACCAGCTGACTGTAGCCTACTGACCTGAGTAACGAAGGCTAGTGCCATACATTGCAGAAAAACATACAATAAAAGATAGAAGATACCAATATACAACCTGCTAATAAGAAGGCACCAGGTGTTTTTTTCTAACCCTGACAGGGACTACTGCTCTAGACTTTAAATGTCATAATTTAGGTGGATTTTACAGATTAAAACTGGGGGATATTTTCACTATCCATATGGGAATTTGATTTTTGATTTTTTTTTAAACGTTACAAAGTTTCTCTGATAGCACACAGAAATGTATTAACATAGTTTGATAATTTTTGATTCCCAATTTGTCTTGGTTATGAACATGAAGTACTAGAGATGTCTTTAAATAACCAGGAATAGCTCCCTCAGTTTTGAAATACAAGAAATCTTCACAGAATATATATAACTTAGAGTATATCTTTAACTGAACAAGAACATACTCTATTGTCTCTTAACGTGACTCTAAGCCTTGAAACCATGCCTCAAATGTAAGCCTTTCAATCATGCCTCAAATGTAAGCCTTTCCATGGCTATAATCTGCAATCTCCATTACGCATACATTTGATATTTTTCTTGCTATGTGATATAAGATCAGTACCCAGTGCCTGGGCAAAAAGGGTATCTACCTTAAGCATTCCTCCAAGAATGCCCCAAAGCGGAAGCAAGTACACTGAAGCTCTGAGGCTACTGCTGGCCAGAAAACTGTCTGCAGTTCCGTGTTAGCAGATGAATTGGTTCCTACCAGAAAGAGATGAACTGGATGGTAGAAGGCATGTCTTCTGCTAAAGATGAGTAAATCTAAATGCTATACAGTGTTGCACAACCAATAGCATCCATTTTAAATTATCTAGCAGCAATATCCTATTCCTCATTTGCAAATGTGTATATTTTAAATATTATTTCTACTAACACAAACTATTTGAGAGTTTTATTTTATTAATCTTTTATTAAAGAGAAGCAGGAATTATCTGATAGGAAAATGGTATGTAAGCAATCATTGTTTTGCAGTAGTAACATAAACATACTCTTTATTCAAGAATTTTAAATTACATTTTACTACTAAAAAAAATATAAGTAAATTTGGCCTAAAATAAATCAGTTGAACAGAGAGATTTCTGAAAACATGATTAAAAAACCCAACTTGTTTGCCTCAAAGATTAGAATAACAGGAAAGTATAGGTAGGAATAAAGCACACTGGGGACTCCTACTGAAAATCCCCATGAACAAAAAACCAGAAATTGATCAACTGGTAAACACGAACATAGAATAGAATCATAGAATCAGCCAGGTTGGAAAGGACCTCAGAGATCATCAAGTCCAACCCTTAATCCAACACCACCGTGGTTACTAGACCATGGCACTAAGTGCCACATCCACTCTCATCTTAAAAACCTCCAGGGACAGAGAATACACCACTTCCCTGGGCAGCCCACTCTAATGCCTGATTACCCTCTCTGTAAAGAATTTCTTCCTAATATCTAACCTAAACCTCCCCTGGCACAGCTTAAGACCATGCCCTCTTGTCCTACTGCTGGTTGCCTGGGAGAAGAAACCAACCCCACCTGGCTACAACCTCCTTTCAGAGAGTTGTAGAGAGTGATGAGGTCTCCCTTGAGCCTCCTCTTCTCCAAGCTGAACAACCCCAGCTCCCTAATTCTCTCCTCACAGGACTTGTGCTTGAGTCCCTTCACCAGCCTTGTTGCTCTTCTCTGGACCTGCTCCAGCACCTCAATGTGTTTCCTGAACTGAGGAGCCCAGAACTGGACACAGTACTCAAGGTGTGGCCTCACCAGTGCTGAGCACAGGGGAAGAATCACTTCCCTGGTCCTGCTGGCCACACTGTTCCTGATACAGGCCAGGATGCCATTGGCCTTCTTGGCCACCTGGGCACACTGCTGGCTCATGTTCAGCTTCCTGTCAATCCAAACTCCCAGGTCCCTTTCTGCCTGGCTTCTCTTCAGCCACTCTGTGCCCAGCCTGTAGCGCTGCATGGGGTTGTTGTGGCCAAAGTGCCAGCACTTGGGCCTTGTTGAACCTCATCCTGTTGGAATCAGACCATCTCTCCAGCTTGTCCCTCACACAATTAGTTTCCAGAAGATATTTCTGTAGAGTCTTTCATATTGAAAAGACAAAAAACTTAGCAAGATTAAAAGCTAGTAATTACTAGACTGAAAACAGTTATTTAAGATTTCAGTTGTCACATACTATTAAACAAAGCTAGTACTTTGAACAAAAGGGAATACACGGAGATTCTGAGGTACAATCTATTCAGTTAGGTGGAATTTTAATTTTACCAAGGAAAAAGTATCAACCATGGGTTTTATTAGCATGTTTTTGTAGCAGTATAATGTTAGCTATTGTTCTTACTATAATGCAGACATTTAGACTACTGGTTTTATTTAGTATAATATTATTTGTCAATTTGAGAACTGAGTATATACAGAAAAAATATTTCTTGCTTTTTAAAATAAAGAAGAGAAATAAAGTATCTGTCTTCAGAATTTCTTCGTTATGTGCTCATCACTAAAGCAGCATACCTTTCCTGTTTAAGTGCATATTCCAGCATTTTGATTCTTCTCACTAGATCCTTCTTCAGATTTTCCTGTCCTTTCCTTTCACCTTGAAGAAAGGCAATCTGGGCCTGCAAAAGAAAGGGTTCAGTTTAGATTCTGCTTCATCAAAATCACTCAGCATAGCTCCTAAGTTTGTGTGTCTTCCCAAGTTATTTTAAAATTTATTTGTAGAGTTCAAAAGAAATGGCTCACTGTGTTTCATAAACATTAAGTGCTTACACAAAACACTACAAAGATAAGCCTTCTAAACTGCATGCTCATTACAGATCAAAAAAAAAAAGGAAGAAAAAGATAAGAAATAAAACAATTTTGGTTTGTTTGACAGAGTTTATTTCCTCTCTTGACTAAACATTCAATAAAGGATAAGGAATAGATAAAATAAGCAAACAAAAAGCCTTCAGCAGATAAAAGTATTTACCAACAATAAGCAGAAGATGATGACAAAGTATTTCTGCTCACTAACTGATGTATGGTATAATTAGTGTACTATTCTATAGATACATGTTAGCTACATGATACTAGTAAAAAAATGTAAACCATGTTCAACTAAAAGAAAAATAAAACCCCATTTGTAATACAGTGTTAATTATGATACTTACTAAAATAGCTTAAAGAAAGTTCTCCAGAAATACTGTAATTAAGACAGGAAAAAAAAGGGAAAACAGGGAAAGGTATTTTGGTGAGGGAGACAAAGAGAGAAATGGTACAGAAGTAAATAAAAGTCAAGTAGAAAATACACAGTTAACCTTCATCAACTTCCAGCACAGAGTTAGTATTTAGTTGCCTGAGAAAAATCTCCTTCAAATAGAAAGCTATGACAAATACAAGATCCTAATTCCTAATCCTAAAGGAAGAACTACCTGCTTTTGTATCTAATGCTCAAATCATGTCCATTATAAGAGGCAAGTTCTTGTGCTTGCTCAATTCATGAATACACTTTTAGACAGAAATACCTACAGGCAGTCACCACTTCATGCCTCAGCCTCACCTGCCATTGCAAGCCACCTGCCATTTTCAGGATCAGAAGCTTTCTGTCACCTCTGAAGCAAAGTCTCCAAGTATCTCATCTGTCTCTTGAGAAGCACAAACAGGATAAAAGGCAACTGGTCTAGACCATCAGCTGTTGAACATGAAGACCAATAAGCCTTTTATTTATACAAATGCCCACTGCAAGTCTTTAAGTGTTCTCTATAGGCACTGCACTCTGTACCAATCTCTTGGGAAAGTCAGGGAGAAAGGAGCAGGAATATGTTATCCTCACAACCTTGCAAGCAGTCCCCAGATAGTTTAGTTAATGGAGACAGTCGTTTCTGAAGAATAATTTATCTGACTGCAGATTTTTACTCCAAGGTGAGAAAAAACAGAACCTATAAATGTCATTTTCTCTCCATCAACTATAAAGTGAACGCATACAACTAACTCAGTTGAATTTTGGAAACCAGACAAGATGAATCTTACTCTAAAAGGCCACTTGTTGTTGGCCATCTATAGCAGCTGCTCTAAAATATGACACCAGCTGACATAATTTTATTGCTCAAGTACAGCCAGTAAACAGCTTGACAAACACCTGAAGGAGCTTTAACTGCCAGTCACCAACTAGAGCAGCCAGTTTATGTCAAGTGAAAAACACTGGCTGTTCTCCAACAAAGTCAGTCTTCAACTTCAATAGGGGAAACACATCTGAATTCCGAAAAAAAAAAAAGTCAACTGAATCAAAATAAAGGCCTCTTGCTCTGCATCATTAAGTGGCATTTCTTTCCACTTAACACTTGAATTGGGATGAACGAAAAACTACAATTGAATTCTAATGTTCATTTTACACTCAGGTTTAAAGAAAGGCACAGAAGAAAGAAATGCTGATGCTAGAGTCAGCATTTCCTACCCTGAGGAATGTAACTGTGCAAGAAGCATGTCAACTCAACACGGTCACCATCCCTCTGAGTAACAAGAGGAACACCTCAAACACATATAACTCAGTTTGCAGTAACTGTGCAGACACCCAAATTCTCTCTCCCTGTCTCCAAATACACCCAGCAGAACTAAACATTCCCTTCTAGTCAAAAAGTGAGAGAACATCAAAACACGCTTTTCAAAACAGTAGAAGGTGATGTAAATATGTATTTGATTGGAATGAGAAAGATCATTCAATGCCATCAGGACACAAGCTGATATGATCTATGGTGTGACCTGCTATCTTCAAGCAATTCTAACCAAGAATGAACTGAATGAACATGCTGGAATAAAGCATTTTTTACCTGGCAGGTTGGCAAAGGACAGCCAGTAATGACCCTGCTCATGCACTGCTATACTACAAAGGTCAAACCAGCATCACCATGCTAACAACTGAGGCTAAAGTCATCTTCCACTGGTAGCAAGCTGAACAAAATAAAAAATGCAACTTCTCAGTAGTTTTGACAGCTTACTTTTGTAAGAGGGAGAGACATTAATGGATATGATTAAGAAATAACATACAACACCACCTTCATGTGGACATCTTTCACTGTCAGTAGTACATCAATGCTCTTACTGATGTCTCAGAGCTTTTCTTTTTCTTGGACTTCCATGAAATCCTTGTGTTTCTTACTCAAAAAGCATGCAACAACAATAGAGTCGAATCCACAAGCCAAGTCTTCAGCCCTACACAAGCTTATTGCTAGGATCCTTCAGCGCTACTGCATATTTTACAGATAGGTAGTTTTACTGGTAAATCAAGAAACAGAGAATAATTTTGCTCTCTCCTTGGAGGCTGCACAGTTTCTAGCATAGTTTGTTTATGCTTTTCTTCAGAGTAGCAGCCTTATGTCCAATACTCACTATTTTTGAGAAATTCTGGCTCTGAAAATGAGAATAGTTACAGTTCATATGTCTTAAGCAGACTTAATTCTTTAGAATGTTTTGCAATTAACTGAAAATGTGCAAAGGAATCTAAATGTTCATACCATAAATGAAACATTTTGCAGTATAAGTGAAAACTGAATGAGTACACTGAGTTTAAACAGCTAAAATAACAAATTATGACATCTAGCAGTGTTTTCTCAGTCTCTAGAACAAAACAGCGATAACTCCAGAATCACTATTTCCAATCAAAACACATAGACAACACCTGTCTAAATGTCTGTGCAAACATTTAATGTGTAAGAGGTTTGTGTTTAAATAGGATGAAAAGTATAACTGAACTGAGCAACTACAGTTTTCTTATAATTCACACATAAACGACGGAATTTTATCAACAGTTTGAGACTCTACAGGCCACTTCCCAGAGCTGCAGCTTTAGCACAAGTCAAACCTGAAGCCTGTGTTATACCTGGGTGAGCGGGAGAGAAAGGAGATGCACTTCTGCTTTGAGTGATCTGCAACACTGTTCTACACTTGCGCTTTAGCCACTCCTGGGAAGGTTTGCCAAAAATTTCAAGAATTTGCAAATATTCCCAACAAACAGGTTCCGTGACAACTGACCTTCTAACTAATGAGGTTAAAATGCATCAAGTTGTAAGCTAGTCATCACAAACCTCAAAATTGCCTACGGAGATCACGCACAACCTCATATTGTTCCTTGCCTTATGGGTGGGGCACATCTTCTCCATAAAGCACCCAGCCCCGCTGGCTCCGCAGCAAGGAATCAAGGCAGCATCCGCCTCTCATTTATTCCAGGCTAAGTGCTACAAGTTACTGTATTCCTGCTCAACTGTGAAATTAAAATCAAGAGAGTAGGAGAAAGTAAATAAAAAAAAAACGCACAAAACCAGAGAACATTGGGAAGAGAGATGCCTGGCACAGCCTATTTCTGTTGCAATTGTAGAGTTCAGTATTTTTTTTCCCCATTTTATCTCACTGAAGTGTTTCATATTACCAACTGCAACAAAACTTAGAAGTGTCATACACATCCGGTCTAAATTAATAGCGCTGTAGCTACCTTAACTATTCCACTTCTTTACTAAGAGATTTTAAAAATAACATTCATTCTTACATTAAAAAAATTTCTCACAGGCAACAACACTGTTGTTTTAAGAAATTCCCCAAAAGATTCTAAAGTCACATTACTGTGAAGTAGACAAAAAGGTTTTAAGTAGCACTGGGTTAGAAACAACTTTTTTTAAAACGCTGCTGACTTCTTAACACAGGTTTAGCAGGCATAACAATATAATCAGATAATGAAATTGCATCTTAATAAGTGTGGATTTTATCAATGTTTAAAAATTTAAACTGAAATCTACACTTCCTAGAATCAGTAACCACTACTACAAGGATGTTAAAAAGTATCTTATATCTGGACACCTTTTTAGGCTGACATCTTGACACTACAAAACAGCATGAGATAAAGAATATCTATCTTTAACAGAAACTGTTTAAAAATAAACATACTAGAACCGCTAAACAACTGATGCATGTTTAATATCAACTTCTATCAGTTCTTGAATTTTACAGCTATTTCAAGTTCAAAAGCAATTTAACTTTTTTTCATTCTTAACACTTAAGAGCTATAAAAATCCTATTCTTTTCTTTAAAATATTTATCTTAATATTTTAAAGTAAACCTCACTTTAAATTTATGGGCACTTGAAGGTCAATGGGCATCATTTGACAGAGCTACAATTCTCTATATAATGCTTCCATAATTCAACAAGGTTTTCACAGGTCAAGAGAAAGAGAACAAAGGAGGAAAAAAACTGCAAGAAATGTATTTCAAAAAATATGCAGATGGCTAAAATAACTAAATACATTACAGAGATTAATCAATCTGAAACAGTTGTGCTAACTGGTCTACCAAGATCTGCCAGAAGGATTCTGTAGGCTGCCATAGTACTCAGTATTTGAGACTGTAGTTGGCTCACTGAATCACTGCATATTTAAGTATATTTGTAAATAAGTGTAGCATGCCCAGGGGGTGACAAGAAAAGAGATAAAAAACAGGTACAGGGGAGGGGGGAAGGAAAACATCAGTGGTCTAGTACAACTAGTAAACAATTTTTCAGGCACCATACTTAACACCACAACGCACACCTACTAGCACTCTGTCAAGAGAGGCTAGGAAGCTTTCGTAAGGGAGTGTAGCCATTTAAGATAACACA